TACACTGCAAATGACATGTACGGCAGTTTGTCATCGATGCTCGATAAAGGATTTGTTATTTTTTAATTAAGCCCATCAATAGTGGGTATTGTTTGGTCCTGTAGCAGTGTTGTCGGGGATGAGTGCTTGGTTAAGGGGTTGATATATTGTCTGCTTCTTTTATAAAATAAGTGCCTTTACTATGTCGCTTTCAATGGAACTCCTATGAGATTGGTTGCTTTAAATAAAACTATGAAAAATATGTTGTTTATCTGTAGATCATATGCTTAAATGTTACATAATATTACCTATAAGGTACAATACTAATGGATCAAGGCCATTGATTCGTATGAAACTAGACATAATTTTAATCCTCCAATTTTTTTGCCGACCAAATTAATAGTCCCACTGCACCTGTTAGCGTTATACCAGCAAACAGGTACAGGAGGGCACAAAGGGAGATTTATAAAGAACATAAATCACCTTTAGGTAGATGAAATTTGCGTATTGAACAAATAACTTTTGTGGCATTCAAACACTGTTACTAGAAGTTTAAGTATAGTATAGATCTTTATAAGATTACCAAAATGAATAGAGATACATTCTACAAATACTTACTAAGTAAAATAATTGAAAATTACATTTTTGTCTAGATGTATTCACAATCAGAACCGAAATGCCATTGGCTTTTTTCTATGCCATAAATAATAATTGGCCGATTCGATTTGTTGATTTATGGTTATTAAAGATATGTAGCAGTGATAACACGCACGGTTTCAAAATTCATTTACATGGAAATGTGGACCCCTGGTCGATGTAATGGGAATTGTTATTGCAAACCTCAAATAGTACGCTTGTAGATATAATTGTTACTGTTAGTAGGAAGATCGAAAATTAACAGAGTTTTTATATTTTACGACACGACAATCTGTGGCTACTTTTCTATACTAGCCAAAGACAACACAATCAACCTATTTGCAACATTGCCGATCGTATTTAAAATCATAATTCTTCATTCTTCCGTTCCACTTTTAAAGTTCGATTCATTCGATACCATTCATTCTTCATAAAAATTATGAGCTATAAAGATAATGATGTATCATTGGACACAAAAATCGGCTGGAGACAAAAGTTTCCCGATCGGGCAGCGCCGGCCGGCAATTTATGGTTATGGGGTCCATTGCAGATAGCCGGCAAAACGGATGAGTGTCGGACCAAACGAGCGCATGCATTATTCTTCGAACATATTCAAAATTAGAGCACGTATTTGTCAAACTTGCATTTTGTGATTAAAATATTTATGACAAATGGTCTCGGACCGGCTCGCTCTAGGGTCGATAATTCTTAATGGTGAACGTCCATTTTAATTTACCGAGCAGAAAGAGTTTATTTTAGGCTAGCGAATAAGTTTGAACAGCTTGAGTTTTTAGTTAAGCAAAGTAATTACCTTCTATACTTTGTTTATGCTGTACAATTACGAAATTTTGAGAAAAAGACTATATTTGCTTTTATTATTAAAATACCTGGATGACCGAGCTTAGGTTGGTATTTTTATTTTAACATAATTAATCTGAAACTGAATCCTTGCTAGATTAATTGATCACTCACAAAAACCTGCATCAGTTTTATGTCGTAAACTATTTTTTTTTAATCTTTGCAGCCGTTTCCCATATATGTATTTATGCAAGAATTGTGTCGAAATCGTTTTAAAATATCTAAGATGCAGCAGTCATGTAAGTCTGTCCAAGCTTCCACAAGCGATAAAAGTAAGCAAAAAGAATACTTATTAAAAAAAATTGCAATATTTTATATTAATAAATTAACACTTTGTATGCGGTCAGGTGAGAAACGTACTCGGAGTTAAAAACCTTAAAAAATTAGCCATGTTTTTAAACGTAAATTTTCGCAAATAAATGATCTGTAACGAAATCGATCCTAACTTAAAATAACAAAACAAAATCATTGTATCAAGAAAATACAGAGAAAAGACGAGTTTGAATAAAATATGATATATAAATGATCAACTCATGTTTATACAGAATAGAATATCAAATCTACAACATATAAAAGCATACATACCAACATACATACTTATATATACAGTTTTCTCAACAAAGAGACAATATGATTTTGTATATAAATCGGTTAAAAATATGGATATTTACATTTACATAGAAATGGTTTGGACCGGTTTCACAGAAATTCCGATTTCAGTGAGACTTTTCAAGAGAAGTAACAATCACAGGTGCTTGATGCCGATCACCAATTAAAATTAGTTTTTGAAATGAATTAGTTGTTTTTAGAAATAGATTTAGGACGTCTAAATAACTAAACGAGTTATATATTACTACTTTACGTGTAAAATAATGGCTATTTCATGAAACACAGAACTAAGAGGTACCTACCTTGTGAAAACGTTTAATACATAGGTTTGATTCTGCAGTGTCTCAATGCTCTACAGGTTGCGACTAAAACTGTTCAAAGTAAAATTTAATAACTAAGTAAATACGTATCAATCAATACATATACTTCCTCTCTGCCAATATTTTTATACTGATATTTCTACATAACTTTATTTTGGAGACTGTGGTCGATGAATACTCAGGTTTTAAACCAATTTAAAATCCTCAATCAATATCATAGAACAGAGAAAAGTACAACATCTGAGTAGGTAGGTAACATTACTTTATTTTTCTGTACAAATCCTACAGTGATGTGGACCTTAGCTAGATGGTGAAAATAGAGTACAAAAATCCCGTAAACAAATCTTAAAACACTTTTGCCAGCACCCTATATTCGATGGTATATTCAATCCAAATTCACAAGTACGCGGTAGAAGGTAGTAGTTCTCCACCGAAGATATTCATGATGCAATTAAATTATGCACAGTACTGAGGGCAACTTCGGATTGGTTTGATCAAATGTGGGCTACCTATGTTTGCATTTCATTGGCAAATGGAATTGGTACTTGCCCGCGCTGTTTGCCAATTTCCACCTCGATGTCTGATATAATTTCGATAATTATTTTAGAGTCCAGCTCCTTCTCCGTGTTAATTTATTTGGAGTTATCTATTGCTCTCTAAATGTAGTTTATGTTCTGAATTTCTACACCTATTTTCGTTGTTGGGTTAGTTTTCGACGGTAAGTAGAAGAAATCAGCAGTGATGTATATATTTTTCGTACTTTATTTAGTCTATGTATGAATCATATAAAGACAATTTACGAAGTATATTACAATTCATGCGATACTTTATCTATTTCCTTCAAAGATATATAACAACTTCCATTTTAGGTATATGAAATGGTTTAATGGTATTATTTATTACATTAAGGGTTGTCTAACAATGTCAGAATAGCCGCTGTGGATAAACAAATTTGTATATGGAATGTAATTTATAAGGGCTATATACATTATTTGTCACGTGAGTTTATTGTGAACTTAAATGATAGTGGCGACAACATGCGCTTAATAGATTTGGTTACAAGTTTAAATAATTGTAATTAAACGAACAATTAATTATGAGCAAATAATAAACAACTTTAACGTACCGTTAATTTATTGGTTTTAATCGAAATTCGAGCATTTAATGGGCCATTTTTAATAATTATTTTCTCATTAATTTGTTTTAATATTTAATTTCCAAAGAAAATATTTTTCAAATAAAATAAAATGAAAATTGCTTATATCTGTTCGAAAAAGTAAGCTTCGGCTTTGTTTCGGAAGCAACAAAATTTTTCCTATTCCACTTTTGTGTAATATTTAAACAAGAATTACTTACTTATTAGTAATTTCGCTTTTACTAATCAGAATGAACTTTGTTAAAAGTACTATTTTAGTACCTATTTGACTATAAAATATATTCGTATTCATAAGATCTCACCACCTTCAGGAATCCTTTACCAAACTCCTTACTTTATCAACAAAATCGAGGCTTGAAATAAATAATTGAATATGAATTAATGATATAGATACGTCAGAATATGGCCGAAATAGAATTAGGTTCATTTGTTGGAGTCCCGCTCGCCGTCTGTGGCGCGTAATGAATATTTGAAAATGGTTGAAAACAGCGCCCTGCTACAATGAGGTGCGGACCTATTATGCCTGTTATCACAACACAATAGAGTTCTAATTGCTTCAAAACTTATTAACAAAGAATTGTGCTTAAGAAAAAGATGTTAATCTAATTGAAGAATATTTTTCCTAGATGTCGTAATAAAAATATTTTAAAACCAAACTAATTCATTTTTTCGTAGGACTTTATGCGATTACTATGTTTTTTTTTTTAATATATCCACTGTCATTCTCTTACGTAAAGAATTATCTTCTTTCTACAACTTTCCTGAACCTTCCTAAGGTCGGCACAATATGATGTTTCTTATCAGACGTAATTTTCTCCCATACCTACTGTTTTCTCTTTGATATCATAAAGAGTATTAAAATAATGAACTACGCCACAAAGAATTTTGTCTGCAAAATATGTATTCTTCTTTAATTTTCTACTACTTACTTTATTCTGTCAATTAGAAAAAAAAATGTGTTTTCTAACAATGTTTGTTTGATCATTTCATTTCCTTCAGAGTGAAGTTCCTTCAAATTAAAAATAAATTTAGATTAGAGCGCCAACAAAAAACCTATAGTCTATAGGAAAATTGTATTTTTTTTATGTTATAGGCCGGCAAACGAGCAGACCTCAAGCAGCGCCGCCTATGGACACCCGCAACGGAGGAGTTACGAGTGCGTTGCCGACCTTTTAGGGATTAGGGATTGGGGGAGGGGAAGGATTGGGCATCCGGTAAAACCTCACTCACATGGCGAAACACAACGCTGTGTCATATGATATATAGCTATATATTAGTATTACAAAATGTCCACTCGTACTCGTAATCACTACAGATTAATCATTTTGATGCCACAAGCTGCATCCTAAATTATCCAATTAGATATTTCATTTTATCACTCGAAAGAATAAATTATTAATGTCATTATTCCATCTTAAATAAGTATTGTTTGAAAAATCCAACTATTTCCTTTGTACTTTATTAATATTATTTTTGAAATGTTTCATTTCTATAAGCAATATTATACCACAAACGACCCACATGAAAATTAAACCATAAAATAGCGTGTTTATCTTCGAGAAAGCTATACCAATAGGTATCACTTCATCATTAATGTCTTTCTTGTCTAAAATCCATTTGTGATTATTTCCATCGCTCAAAATTTTATCTATAACACCAGCTTCAACTAGACTGAATATTACATCATCCACGTCCTTCGCAGCTGGCCATCCAGGCCGCATGTAGAAACTAGCACCAGTAGCACTGATACGTTTTTCAAGTATTTGAACGTAAGGCGCCAGAAGATTAACCAAAGCTATATCCGTTGCTAGAAGAAAATTCTCTCCATCAAAGATACGACGAATATATGTTCTCAATTCATTCATTGGTATCACTTTGTAGTTGTGTTCCAATGGAGTGTCTTTGTAATATTCGACCACCACTTCTACTCCGCCGTACCCATCCACTTTTTTGACTGCATCTTCAACAGATTCAAATGGTGGTTCTAAATCTGGGGTTTGTAACGCGTTCACAAGATCTGCTTGATAGTCGATTCTGAAGAAGAAGCAGAACCAAATCCATAACACGAAAAGAGTATTGAGGAGAAACGACCTCGTGACAAATTTCACTGACTGACCCAATAATATGATAAACGATTGGTACAGAACGCGGTTAGTTGCACTGGTCAAATGCGGTTTACATTTTATCACCAAACTAGCGGAAATCAGAAAAGAAATATACACCAGACCATGTAGATAAGTAAAATTTGTTTGATCAGGAATAATAAACTTTAGCCAATCATAGACTTCGCGCTGCCTTCGGCCCACCCAACGAATGTCCACTGTATGGTAAGTATGAGACGGAAGAGTCACAGTATATCTTTTCTCTGTAAGAATGTCAGCTGGAATAAGTATATCAGCTTTTTCAGTAGCCAAATCTCCAATGGAACCAGTTGCCGTTCCATTAACATATGTCCCAAAAATGCTATTATTGTAAGCAGATGTTACATCTAATGAAGCATTCAATTTGTGTAGTATTATCATAAGTATTTTCCCATCGTAACCGCCAACTGATGTGATCCTCCCTTCTTCTGCCTGTACAGTAACGTAAGGAAAATATTCTAGAAGGGCTGTTCTGATAGGACATTGATAAAAATTGCTGAATTTCTTAGGAAACATATTTTGACCGTACTTCATAAACACTGGTGTATAATTGCCACATAAACCTTCACTGTATGGAAAAAACGTTGACAATTTTACTTCTCCAGTATTCATTTCACTGACTACAATCAAGTCTGCCTGGTCGTTCTTCGACGTCACTTCTATAAAATCATACAGCTCTTGATTGGACGTCACAGTATTTTCCAAAACTAGAATAAAACGAATGGGGAATCTTATCACTTCATTGATTAGTTTCATTATAATTTCGTATTCCACCAAATCATTTGCGAAATAGATTGTTTGTTTGAATCCAACTGTTTCGTTGATATCACGAACTTTGCTATCGTTGTAAGTGGCCCAAGGACTAAGGACCACAGAGCCGGGGTAACTCATTAAGAATCCGTTGACACAATTGGACGAATTTTGTTTCCAAATAACCGTTGTAGTGAAATGGCTATTGTAGTAAGTACTTGAAATATTCACAGCTGCTTTAATAAGATTTGATGCTGAAGAGCAGTTAGAAAAATCAGTAAACGTAAAGTCCGATAATGCAGAATGTACAATAGAAAACCATATTAAAACGTGTTTCATTTTTTCAAGGTGTTGTAGTTACACTGGCGATAACTGACTAAGGAGTAACGCTGTTGTATGTACTACCACCACTATTCATGGTAAAAATACTTAGTAGAAAGTCATGTATCATGTCGTAAAATCATATAATTGTAACTGTCATCATGTTGTTACAACTAGTTATTGTGTTACTTAAGTTTTATTTACAATTTGAATTAATTATATTTGTGTATATATACCTACGTATAACATTCATTGTGTCGAAGACATTTCCGAAGTTACTGGTTTTGTATTTTTTGTGAGCAAACAAATAATTATCTAAAGTGTATTTGCCTCTGAATGAAAAGTCCAATATAATTTCAAAGTGATTTATTGTAGAAACAAAACTATACAATGTGTAATACATAGAAAAATGCAAATGTCTGTGTAGCGTATTTTTACACACGAATATAAAAATATGATTTATTCTTCTTTCCTTTAACAAAATTCATATATAAAATCCTTATTTGCAACTTTAGTGTATATTCTTTGTGATCTCTTTTAGGCAGTAATCAGCTTTATAAACTTAACATTAAGGTACATAATAATAATCCAGAAAATAATATCTGTGTTTTACGTCACCGCTTATAACATTCAGGTTTGAGGAGACTAGTTCACTTACCCATAGCAGTTGATATTATAAAAATGAGTAATATCAAAAATAGTCAAATGGATCTCCAGTTTATTTTGTCGTTTTTAAAGGCACTATTTCATTATATTTGCAACATATATATTACTAGTAATATCAATCGCCAAATTGGACAAAACCATCTCAAAAACCACATACAGATCTTTAAACCTATGCTCATTAAGAAGCTTTTAGCTGATATAACAACGACATGAATAGCCGTACTCAGAGTCATTTAATGATTACTTAACGCGGTCCTTTACAATATTGCTACTAAGGAGTATTTTTTAAGTAATAATTAAATGTCTATGAGTACTGAGTACCTATTTTAGTTAAATATTCGTTAAATAGTTTTATTGTTAACGTATGTACTTAAATATTAAAATTCTATCGAGGTACATAATATATAACATTAAAGCCTATTAATAATTTACTTAATTAATCAGTATGGATCATTATTGTGTTCTCAAATTGTATGCAAATATTATCTTTTTATTTAATTATTGATCCAGGGCTTAAATTATGAATAATAGAATTTATTAAATATAAGCATGGCCGCATTTATTCGTTATTAAATATCATTTTGGTTGGTTTAATTTTGATAATATCTGCTCTTATTATAATAATTCGAAAGGTTAAAGACATAAGGTCGAGATTACAAGTGATTTGTGGCCATACTTAAATAAAGGTAAGGGTTTAGCCTCCACGCTGTGTGAGGACGGCGTCCACAAGGAGAAGGGCACCGTTGATGATGGCCAGGGAAGCCTTAGCCAAGTTCTTGTCCCTCCAATCTGACTTTGACGCATTCTGGTATCTGAAACATACATTGCAATTACTGAGTAATGATTTCACGTTGCCCATGTAAAATAGATAAATTCTAAAGTAAGTTTACTTGATGGATAGATAGAAAAGTTTTTCTATTCATGTTATGTTATGGATGGCAATTGATTCGTCTAGGCGACCGAATCCTTATCCGTTCTGAATCGAAGAATCGAATCATCGATAGAAGTCAGTACACACGTGTAGTGATATCGATGCTACAGGGCAGAATGGGCAAAATGTCCACCATTCACTCCTGCTATGACCGAACCACTGACATATTTCATAACTGGTTAGACCATCGATTCGTTCAATGAAATAGTTTCTTTGTATTTCGATACACTACAGAGCCATTTTTATGGTATAAGTCGGCAAACGAGCAGACGGGTTACCTGATGATAAGCAATATGCGCCAAAAGCATAGCTTCGGGAATTAATAATTCGCTCGCTTTTATCACTTTTTCATGTGATAGAACGGTAAACGAGCAGACGGATTATGATGGTAAGCAATAAGCGCAGCCCATGGACTCCCGCAACAACAGAGAGATTACAAGTGCGTTGCCTACCATTTGGAGATTTCGAAATGGGGGAAAGGATATTGGGCATCTGGTAACCTCATTCAAAGGGGGAAACAAAACGCTGTTGTTGTTTCAGCATGGTTTTCCCACACTTAAAATACACAAAAGGTCTCACATAACTGGTTCCTTAGTATAATTCTTCAAGGTATAAAATGATAAGTTGAACTTACTTGTCAATGATAAGCGCTCCGCTGGCGACGAACAAGGCAACTCCGATCAACGAGTAGAAAATGTCGACGCGTTTGTGCGAGGGTGTCTGCATGACATAACCTGGAAAGTGACGTCACTGTTTGTTAGAACTCGCTACTTTGAATATTAAGTAACTGATAAATTACGTAGGTGCAATAGTTATAAATGTAATGTAATAATGTGTAATGTAATTGGTAGCAGGTGTTCTAATGAGTTTACATTGATACGTAGCTGTTGTTTTAAGTTTCAAAAAACACTCTTATATAAGTGTTGGAATAAACTTAAAGAGAATTTTCCAAGGTCATGATCTCTCGATTGAGCGTCGTGGTGGCTCGAAGATTACGATTTACTCATGCTTAAGAAGCGGGCGCTTCTCAAGCATGAGGATGTCGGTTCAAAACCTGGCAAGAAGATACCAATGATTTTGTTTATTATTTCTATGGTTATTTAGACACCACTGGCATACGGTGAAGAAAAACATCGTGATGAAACCCGGGCTTAAAATTTCTAATTATTAGTTTGAAATCTCCAATCCATTCTCAAACCTTCTCCGTGTGATGTGTTAGAAGATGCCTTTGCTAATCAGTGGGTGGTTACAGGCTGATGATGTATGTGATCTCCCAAAGGAAGTTATTTAAGCTCATTATCTGACTACCAACCTGCAGCAGCTCCAGCGAAGATGATGAGGTATCCCACGAAGGTACCAGTAACCAGCATACCGGTCTGAGCATCAGAATCGTAGCTATGGTAGTGGAGGGCGACACACGAACATGTCAACACCTGGAATAAAAATAATAATAATTTTAGATGAATTTTGACTGCACGGTTGGTGGGGCGGCTGGGCAACTGGCTGCCGCGCAACGTGTCGCGGGTTTGATTCTCGCACGGTACAACTCTTTATGTGATCCATAGATTTTTGTTCCGGGTCTGGGTGTGATGTGTATACATGTGAAATTGTATGGTTGTAAACGCACCCATGATACAGGAGAAAAGAAAAGTGTGGGGCAATGCTTTAATAAAAAAATTGATCCGTTTACATTTATCGTAATGTTTTCCTATATTTCACATTTAAACTCAAACTTAATTTGCTTTTATGTTGCAATATTTAACTGTTGTTGTTGTAATATTTAACTAGGCTTTTATTGTAGGTGGGCAAACTGTAATTTCTTCTCGTTAAAACCATTTCGGGTTCAGAGCAGAGTCCTAACTCGTGGCATGGTTTTTCCAAAACTTGTTCAAGTACGACAAAAAGTTTGACTTTCGAAACATCAGAAAAGCAACTTCTTTTAAATAGGATGGCAATGGAACGAACAATCGGTTCTGTTATTTTCACAAATGAAAAAATGTCAACAAAGTTCCTAGTACAAAATAAACACTAACAAGAAAATATAATGAAACTTTTTATGTAGGTACTCAAGACTACGTTACCAAAATGGCACACTATTACACTGGTATAATGACGTCATAGTTCCTCAAGCGAATTATGACGAGCCACAGATAATAAAGCAACCAGTTCTGGAGGGATGATGTCATTCTAAACACGCCACATAAAGCCGAGGCCAACTGCTAGGAGCCTTGACGCCTTGTCTTTAAGGATGAGAACATCCAAAGAGGTCGAATGCGCTTTCATTGAAATGCGTTCGTTTTATGCATTGTTAATAAAAAAATAAGGAAAAATAACAATTCTAGACAATTATGGTATTATAACTGAACAAATAACCAAGTATTTATTATAAATTGCTGACGTAATGGCTTTGGTATTTCTCATTAACAGCTAAGTGATTATAGATTATTGTGATGAAAAATAGATCATCACTATTTTGGTATGTAGCCACAGGTACGTTTGTGTGTGTGTGTGTGTTGGTATTATATATACGTTTTAGATTTCTGTAATCCTTTATTACAATCAACTACATGTAAACAGCTGAAATTTTTCGAAAACAGCTACAGGTTTCAGTATGGAAGCCAATTTTATTACCAACTAGGACAATACAAAAATAATTATAGTTATGTTTATATAATTCTAGTGGCTCGCCCCTACTTTACATGGTTTTATAATTATCCTATGAATGACGAACGACTAAGGGACGCTTATCGCAGATTTTCCCAGCCACATTTCTAAAGGTCTCCAGACAATAACAAACACGACAAAAAAGAATCAGCGATTTTGGTCCAGGCGTTTTTGAGTAATGCGCTTACAAACACATTTTTAAATTAAAGAAGAAGATTAGTAAGTACCTAGGTATCTACATATATTACAACAAATTTATATTTAGTGTTCTTTAGATGACACACAATTACTTAACACTAAGTAATGAATTCAATACACGTAAGAATCGTTATAGAACGCGCCATTCAATTGTTATAGCATTCATTAATTTTATTATAGCCACACATTTCCGTACAATAGGAAGTATGTACCTATATTCAATATTAATATCCCTAGTAACTCCTCATAAGAATTCATTGTTCATTAATCGAATGTCATAATGTTGTTTTTTCATTACAATAATGTTTATCGACTGTTTCTTTTGGTCTGTCGAACAAAATGTCCAATTTCTAAGTCGAATATGTTTATTTGAGTTCAATACCCAAATCTTGCCTCAAAGAGCTAACAGACTACCGCAGACGGGGTCCAACATGGCTGATCTTTAGATGGGAGCTGGGCAAGCGCAATAAGAAACCATCCCGGCCTAGAGCAGGAGAAGTAATAGGGTAGTTTGTAGTCAGTAAGAGTCTGACACTTCCTCTTACCTGACCCTGGGTGAGAGAAGTCATTTGATGATTTGCCCCCTCAAAAAATAAAGTCCCATATCTTCCAATCCTCAAAACCCTTACACCTAATATGTACCAGCTATTTGTAACAACTCCTTAGTGTCCGGACGTCCAAAGGCAGCGCTGATTGCTTACCATCGCGTAGTCTTTATTCTCCATTGCCGACCTATCCATAAAAAAATTACATAATTCCAACACAGAGTACTCTTTGTGCTCTTGCTTTTAAGTTTAAATACATAGTCATCAAGGAAATAGCATTTTGGATAAACCTCGTTAAATCTCCGGAAAAACTATGATTTTTTTAATTTTAATTAGTTTTAATAAAAATCACGTGTGCTGAATATATTTTACAGTATATCGGATTAATCGATATAAATGTACATATAATCATAAATTCTTCGGAAGCAGCAGGAAGAAGGTAAGAACGGATGCATTTAGATAAGTTTAAATGATTATTTATCGTTTATTATCTTATAAAAGTTATATATAAATAATAAAAGTTGCAATAAAAATGTAATAGATTTGGCAAATACAATGTGACGTGAAAATATTTACTTGGTTGTCCTTAATATGAACTTAAATAGCACTTACAGCACCCTGAGAATAGGGGCGATTTTTTATTTATTTTTTAGTTTTTAGTCGCTGACTTAGAAAATATTAGTTTGATTTAAGTTTTTAAATGTTTATTTCATAGCTGATTTGTACTTCTTATGTTTCAAACAATAAAAATATCAGTAAGTAAATATCAACTTAGTATCATTTGCTCACCCTCAAAAAAAAGATTCGCCTCGGTCTACCGTACATGTAAATAATCTTAGTACCTAAACCAAAAAATATTTCTGCAGAGAGACCAGTATAAAAATGAAATCACCTTGAAAATATCAGCGAGCAACTATAATTTGTAAACATACATTTATCAAGGAAGAGGTCGAGGTTACGATCGCACTGACTCATTCAGTGTTTTCGCAAAATTACACAAGTTGAATGTAAAATGTTTTTTTGCCTTATAGTGTTGTAAGTATGTGTATCATTGTTGTTTCTTCGCATTTAGGATAAAAAGTATCTTTATTAGCCTACAAGTACATATACCCATACGGTGTAAGTAGTCTAAGGAAGTAAAAGTCTTGACGAAATCCTTGAAGGACCACCCTAAATAGTAGAAGTTTCGTCAAATTTCCTATCCTTGTTAAAAAAAATTCTCTTTCCTAACAATAAACATGTATGTATTGTGTATATACATACGTTCCTATATGTTACGTCGACAAACCAAATCCAACGTTTACAAAAACAAATTAATGATTGTGTCATAATTGTATTTAAATGTCCCTATAGCTTAATTCGTTATCATGAACAGTTATTAAAATGGGGTTAATGGGCACGGCAAGTGTTAAAAGGTATTCGACCTTATTGAACTACATTAAGGGCCCACCTAGCTGCGCCCGGCATACGACAGAGTTATAAATAACCGCCCATGTACCTTCAGTACGTAGGTGCTATGTATATATTTATATATCTCTGTTTTTTAACATTTTTACTGCATATTTCATGTTTATATTAACTTGGTACTTGTAGTACAAAAATAATCCAGTGAAGCATCACATCACAGCTCATCTACGACAGGTTAGATAAACATTCCTTGCTTTTATATATTTTGTTGTAAAATCAAAACATCGCTATGATCTCGAACCTACTAGTTAATTTTACTAATATTATAAATTCGAAAGTTACGATGTTTGGATGTTTGTTACTCAATCACGCCAAAACGACTGGACGGTACTGGATGAGAGACACAGGCATAGGATACACTCCGGAATAGGACATAGGCTATTTTTTATCTACATACCAGGGCGAAGCTGCGGGCGGAAGCTAGTAAGTTAAATTAACCAACCAATTTTCCTTGAGCAATGCTCAAATCTTTACCGTAGAAGAAAAAGCTTTTGTTCATCAATATGCACTTATAGACTGATAATATTTTCAAGTAAATACCGAGCTACACTGCATCGAAAACACAATCATTCATTAGTCCTGTCGATGTCTTGTTATGAGCAAGATGCCAGTAACGAAGCATATCCAGTTTCTGCATACGTATTTCGTTTGGAAAAATACCAGTAGGTACCGTAAAAAATCTACATCTAAAATCATTAGAAATAGAACTATTTACCTCGATACTTTGTGTAGTGAAAGCGAATATTTTCATTAGTACTACAAGGCGCGTGCTACGAATAAATCGCATTACTTATACATATGGAAGTGAAATTGTTTAACGAGTTTCTTGTATAAGTAACTGCTATCCAACAATTAGAAACGTTCCATTATACGTTCCATGGTACTAACAATAAATAGTCCCATTGTTTGTTTGTAATTTATCACTCATTATTTCAATATTTATTGGGTTAAATACATTCCTTCCTATTGTGTTGATTTAACTCATAAACAATGCAAAGATGAAGAAGTGCGTTGAAATTGTGTTGTTAAATGACACATTCTGTATCGATAATCGTTAACGAATGTGTGGGAACTCCTTTATCTGACCACGTGACTTATCGATGACCTACCGAAATCTCTGAATAGTTATTTTGTTTTTTTTTTGTTGGTGTATAATCATCTAATGGCTATTTCGCCCTAGGTGGACGAGATGGAGTGTCAGACTCTTACTGGCTAAAAACCACCACGCTCCTTCTCCAGCAGTGTGATTCAAAAAAGTCAAAAATCATTTATTCCAATTAGACCCTTACAGGTACTTATGAACGTCAAACAAAATTTTGAAGATATAGTGTCAGTCTGTCGGTCAGTACTCTTAGTGAAGCTATTTGCTCGTTCCAAAGTGTAGATTCCGATGGAGAAGAACGAGCAAGAAACTCCATGGTTACTCTTTTTAAATCAGTTTCACATACAGATTCCTTTTACAAACAGTTGGTTCAATTATGTGAAGACAGTGTAACACTAATATTTATTCAAATATAAAAAGAAAGTACCTAACCTTAAGGACAATAGACATAGATTCT